GTACCCAAGCTATCGATTAAGCGCTGTCTCAATTTCGTCGGGTCAGCCGTTATTGAGATCCGAAAATCTGAGGGCCCGTCAACTCGTGTACTCGCGTAAACTTACACGGTCGGTCTCGCACGCGTGTACTAGCTACGCTTACACTTGGCGCGAGACACTACCGTGTCTCGTGATATTTGCTATATAACAATTTTAAAAAATGTTTATTTCTTGTATAATTTTTAGATATTATAATGAGTACACATATAAACGTTCATGGCGAACTTATAAGCGAAAAAAATTTTCACACAGCATTAGGAGCAGGCTTTTCAAATGTCAGAGACTGGGACGGTCAACGATTCAAGAATTTAAGAAATCAGGAATAGTTTCATGTGATTAATGTTTTTTTCGTTGAATTAATTGATTTAATGTAATGTTGTGCCATATATAAAGTAAAGCTATTATATATATACTGTATATACATATGAAATGTATATATTTATATTCGAGACATTTATAATTTATTTCATAAAAAGCAAAATAATTGAAATAGCTTGAGCATTTGCACTTTTTAAGAATTTATACATATAAAGTATGTATAAATATTTAAAGCTTTTCAGATATTTAGTTAAACAAATATAAAAAATATATAAGAAATCTAAAAAAGAAAACTTTGGGCAAACGTTGGACAGAGAAAATGGAATCTGTTTGGGTTTTCCACTTAGAATCGCACTTAGAATCTGTTTGGGTTTTCCACTTAGAATCGCACTTTTTAAACATTACACTTCTAATCCGAATCTCCATAGATTTTCTAATAAGAATCCATCATTTGTTTGGGAAATCGGAATAGATTCCTATCAGTTCCCAGAAAATTTTCTTAGCGGGACAACGTCCCCGATTTCTATTTTTCGAGTCTCTTTCTTTTTTCCGTTCTTCAGTAACAACTGTCCTAAATATTCTGTGCGACATCTCTTTCGTAGGTCTTCGCGAATTTTCTGTCTGTGTTTTAGTTTCTTCTCTAATTTTGCTCGATAGAGAATGTCACAGTCTGGGATACCGTACTCTCGATTTTCTTGCAAAATTAATGACGGTGATAGTGGTTTAAGATCTTCTGAAATGTACGCCAGTGGACGAGCGTTAATTATTGCGTCTGCGTCGCATAGGGTTGTGTTCAGGCTCTCGTACGACATACTTGCCCTTCCCAGCATCTTTCTCAACAATGTCTTCAAGATTCCTATGAGTCTTTCCCACCAACCACCCCACCACGGTGCTGCTGGCGGATTAAAATACCACTCTATTTGTGACGCCGAACTGTGTTTCGTAATTCTATTCTAGTCTAATTTGCTTAAAGCCTTGAAGGCGCCGGTAAAATTCGTCCCGTTATCGCTATGTATGCTACGTGGACGTCCGCGTCTTGCTATGAATCTGCGTAAGCATTCTAAAAAGCCCTGAGTGGATAACGTCAATGCTAACTCGAAGTCCCTGCCGAAGTGTACTGCTCGGAAAACCGCACACGTAAAAATACTGTTAAAAATTTGAAACAAAGGTGTCCGATACGCTCATAGGCGCTCTGTGTAACCTCGGAGCGTCGCAAGACGATGGCGTTGCGATCGAGTAGTAGCGCGCTGCTATCCGCTAGTAGTAGTATGTGGGCTTCCAGCGAGCGAGCAGAACACAACGATCCGTGTATTGTATCGAGAGCGGAATAAACGATTTATGTCTACGAGTACGAACTGTTCAAGTGACCCTCGACCTCTCCCGTGTGCAACGACTTCACGCGATAATTAACATTAGTGGCGACCGTGACAAGATCCTCGAGAGTGACTACGTTCCGGGCACGAGTGTCGCGAGGGAAAAGGAAAACATCGCAAGATGGAAGCCGCCAAGAGGAAGCGCACGACAAACCGCACTGCTTTCACGCGTGCAGCAGGTGATCTGGCCAAGGCTCTGGAAAATGCGGTGGATAAAGACGAAATAACAGTACGTCTACAGCTCCTCGAAGAAAAACACGATCAATTACAGGCAGCAAACAAAGTGCTATTGGCATGCATGCACGAGGCGGAGGACGTGTCGGAAACGGCCATTGCGGATGAAGACGCCTCCCATGATGAATATACGAGAAAGTTCCTGCGGGCGAGACTCACCGCCAGGAACGCATTGGAGATGACAAACATGGCTGCTGCAACCACTAGCGTATCGGTTACCGACGGCGCACCTGAGATGACAAACATGGCTGCTGCAACCGGCGTATCGGTTACCGACGGCGTAGGTACACCCGTTCGCTATCAGGCCCCTGCTCTAACGAATCAGATCAAATTGCCAAAGATCGAACTCAAGAAGTATGATGGTGATATCAAGGAGTGGCTGCGATTCTGGTCTCAGTTTAAAAAGATCCACGAGAATGCTGCGATGGATAAAGGGACCAAATTCGAATATCTCTTGCAAGCGATAGTACCGGATTCACGCGCGGCCGAATTAGTAGGTAGTTTTCCACCTACCGAGGAAAATTATGATAAAGTTATCGACGCGATAAAGAATCGTTTCGGTCGTGATGAGATTCTTGTAGAGGTATATGTGCGCGAGCTACTAAAACTAATACTGCAAAATGCTTTGAAACCTAATGAGAAGATGAAATTATCGAGTCTGTTTGACAAAATAGAATCACAGCTTCGGGCTCTCGAATCGCTTGGCGTGACCACCGACAAATGCGGCGCCATGTTGTTCCCTCTTGTCGAATCATCGTTGCCGGAAGAATTGTTATGCGCATGGCAGCGAAATCAGGCACCGTCATCCAGGGGATCGGGAACATCGCCGAAAGAAAATAGACTCACGCAGTTAATGAAATTTCTACAATCCGAGGTGGAGAACGAGGAACGTATAACGATGGCAGTAAGTGGCTTTGACCTGAACGAACGGAAGCAATCAAAGCATAAGCAACGTGCGGAATCCCACAAGGACACCCCCTCTGCTATGAGTTTACACGCAAGGGGAAAGGTTAGTAAATCTACTGTGTGTGTGTTCTGCGACGATGAACATGCTAGCTCAAAATGTGAGAAAGCTCGTAAAATGGCTCTGAATGATAGAAAGTCAGTACTACAAACCAAGAAAGCATGTTTTAACTGTCTTAAAATAGGGCATTCAAGTCGAATATGTCGCGGAAATATTAAATGTGCCTTATGCGACCGTCGCCATTTCGTGCTTATGTGTCCTGAAGTTGTTAGCGACCATAGTACCCCGCCATCCAACGAAGCAGTCAAAGATGAGAAGACGTTACTTAATCGCACTAGAGGACCTGAAGTCATACTACAGACGGTACATGCGATCATAAGAAACCAACAGGCGGAGAAGATAGTACGCGTATTCTTCGATTCAGGTTCAACCAGGTCGTACGTGTGTAAGGATCTTGTTCACGACATGAAGTATGAGCCGATTGGTGCATTGAGACTGAAGCAGTCTCTGTTCGGTAACATGTCATCGGAAATCAAGGATCACAAGAAGTACTTAGTCCATCTGCGCAGTCTGGATGGGAATTATGCCTGTAACTTCAAAGCCTATGATGAGGAGAAGATATGTGCCGAGGTTCCGCTGTGGGATGAGCTACCGCGGATGAATGAACTGAAAGAGCTAGATATCCAGTTAACTGACGGACCAGGTGAGTCTGTCCATGCTCAGCCTATTAAAATTCTTATCGGAGCTGATATTGCTGGAAAGTTAATGACCGGTAGGACCCAGCAGCTGAAGTGCGGTCTGACGGCCATCGAGACGCATCTCGGATGGACGTTGATGGGGGAAACTCCGAATGCCAGCTCGGAAAGACTCGCGGTACAGACCACTTCTATGTTGCAACGAGAAACCTGCATATCTGATTTGTGGAACTTGGACGTCATCGACATTAAGGATCCCGTTGTCGAAAAGGCTCGAAGGGACCATGATGATCAAGTTCGAAAATGGTTTGTCGAAACCATTACGACCAATGAAGAAGGACGCTATTCAGTGTGTCTCCCGTGGATCCAGTCACACCCCGCTCTGCCAAGTAACCGAGACCTTGCGGAGAAGAGACTCGTCACGACTGCGAAAAAACTTAAGGCTACTAGGATGTACACGGCCTACAATCGAATTTTCAACGAGTGGAGAGAGGAAGGGATCATCGAGTTGGTGCCAATCAACGAGATAGAGACAAGGGGTCACTATCTTCCTCATCGTGGAGTCGTCAAAGAAGGCAGCTCTACACCCTTCAGGCCGGTATTCGATGCGTCAGCCAAAGATAAAGATTCGCCCTCATTGAATGAATGTTTGGAAACAGGGCCTAACCTAATTGAACTAATTACGTCCTTACTTTTACGTTTTAGAAAGAGAAAATTTGGTATAACCGCAGATATTAGAAAGGCTTTCTTACAAATAAGTTTATCCAGGAATGACAGAGACTTTCTCAGATTTTTATGGTATGATGACTACGGAAAGATAAATGTTTATCGACATACCAGAGTAGTTTTTGGTGCAACGTGCAGTCCTTTCATTCTTGGAGCGGTAATTGACTTTCACTTAAAAAACCTACTGTCAGACGAGAAACGGAAAGTATGTATGACTGACGCGACGGGTAATATTCCTCAATTAATGGAGAGTTTTTACGTGGACAATTGTGTGACTAGCGTAGATACAATGGAAGAAGTTAATGGGTTTATGAGTGATGCGCGATATGCGATGCGTGAGGGCGCGTTCGACCTCAGAGGGTGGGAGCATACCGGATCAAAGACGGGGGAGGGAGAAATCTCAGTGCTAGGCATGATTTGGAATAAACGCACTGATACTCTGCATCTGACAATACCTCCCATCGAATCGGTCTTAAATGGGAAAATCACCAAGCGCGTGATAGTATCGGTGGCTCATCGTATTTTCGACCCTCTGGGATTAATTTGTCCGGTCATGATATGTCCTAAACTTTTGTTACAGCAAACCTGGATCTCAAGAGCAAAGTGGGATGAGGAATTGAGCGAAGAGATACAAAAGGAGTTTAAAAGTTGGCTCAACAATCTGTCGTCATTAAAGGAGTTAAAGATTCCTCGGTGGGCCTTTTGCTCTTCGGATCCGGGGGCTGAAATTAGCTTTCACGTATTCTGCGACGCGAGCAAGAAGGCTTACGCGGCAGTGATGTATGCACGGATGGAGTACGACTCTCAAGTTAATGTTGTAACCGTGGACTTTTTGTGATACGTGCGCGGATAGCTCGTGGCAGTCCAGGGTTCGGGCGGCAGGATTGGCAAGCAAGCGTGTACTCGGTTTGATTGTTAACTACACTTAGATTTATTTTATATACTTAAATTACATTTACTCTTATACTAATCGCTTATCTAATTACTTATAACTAGGCTTATATCTACGCGTACATCATTTGCAGCTCGGGCTGCGGCTTCGTATCTCTGTATATTTGGCGCGTTGCGCGTGCCGTAGGTGGGCCGCGGGTTATCGGTTCGGTAGCGGGGCGGTGTGTTCGGTACCGCGGCGCGGGTCCGTTCGTTACCGCGGCGCGAGTCGGTTGGCGGGCCTGTAGCGGCGCGAGCGTCGGTATCGGTACCGCGGCGGGTTCGGTTGGCGGGTCCGTAACGTCGCGAGCGGGGTTGTTGTTCGGAGCGGGCGCCTATCACTCAACACGTGGTCGCGGTCCCCTCAGCTCGGGGCATGGGATGCGAGGTTAGGTACGGTGCGGAGGAGCCGCTCAATACGCGGCCGTAACTAGGGGTGCCTTCCGTTTCACGCATTGAATGCATAGATCGCATCCAATGCGCTGCGCGCATTGATATCGTTCCGTTTCCATTAATGTGCCTATGCGCTCTTGGAAACGGAACGGATTTTGATGCGTTTGATATGAAACGAAAATGGATGCCATCAGAATGGATGACAAAACAGTGGCTGTGTTTT